AATTATCTGATTTTAATATATTATATATGTTAATAAATTTATTATAGCCAAATCTAGAAAAATTACAGTGTATGAAGGAAACACTCAAAACTTATCTCTGTCGTTACAGAACTCACGTTTGTATTTGAGAGAATTAGGCACAACTCGAGTGTCAACCATACACAAATGCTACTCAAATATGTATTCAACAGTAGAAAGTGCAACGAAACAACAAATCTGCTTCAAATACGTGTAATACATTAAAAATCTGCATTATTAATAAGTACATTATATACTAAAGCTGTGAATTAGGAAAACCAAAAAAAGAACATTATTTATAATATATTCACATAAATATTGAAATAATATATATATATATATATTTATAATTATATTTTTGTATATGAAATTTTCATAGTGATATATTGTAATAATATTGTTCCATCTCCAAATGTTGGATATTATGGAAGGAATATACATTGTTTATATATTGTTTACATATTGTTTACATTGTTTATATAAAAATGTTAAATATCAAATAAGGGTTTAGGTATTTATGTTTTACTGTTAACAACATATACCAAAAAAATTATTAGACGATTATTTTTTCTGTATTCAGTTGGTCATTTTCTTAGTGGGTTTGGTGTAAGCTTCTGTTAATTGCTTTTTTTCTTCTCTTGCTGTATACTATTTTTTATTAGAGCTTTTATTCATAATGATTTAGGTATCTATGTTTCACTGCTAACAACATATACCAACAAAATTATTACAGGATTATATCCGTATTCAGTTGGTCATATTCTTAGTGGGTTTGATCCAAGCTTCTGTTGTTACCCTTTTTTCCTCTCTTGCTGTCTTCGACTTGCAGTTGGTCATATTCAGTTTTTTTTTTTTTATTTTGACAATTGTGAGTTTTTCCTTCTATTTCTTAATGTTGATTTTCCGTTGCTCATATTTAGGATTTTTTAGTTTTAAAATAAAAAAAAACAAAAAAACAAAACTAATAATTATTTACATTACATCTATTTTAATAATTAAATGAGATACATATTTTTCATCAGTATATACTGAGAAGACTATCTTGACATTTTTCAGTTGAATAAGAAGCAGAAACTAATCATTATTTACATTACATCTATTTTAATAATTACATGAGATACATATTTTTCATCAGTATATACTAAGAAGACTATCTTCACATTTTTCAATTGAATAAGAAGCAGAAAAAGATAACACAAACATAGAAATAGAAAAATAAATAAATAACAAATAAACAAAACAGAAGACAATACATTCTAAAAAAATTTGATGGAAGGAAACATAAAACTATCAGTAATATTTAAAAACACATAGTAATAATAAAAATTTAGATAAATGAATTATGTTTTAAAAAAATTGATTCAGGTATTAATTCTATATTGCTACCAATATATATCATAGATAATTGAAAAATGACTGAGTAATATCTTTGGCTACCAACTAAATTATTTGCATACATCTCAAATAATCTGGGCAACATCAAAGACAACAAAATCATTACTAACAATTACCTTATACATGGCAACAAAAGAAAAAAAAAAACTTCATTATCACCAAAAAACAATAACAGTCTAAGAAAAAATAAAATAAGTTTAAAGAAGAAAAGTGAAAACAGTGATAAAATAGATGAAACAAAAACAGGAGAAGAAAGAAAATAAAAAGATAAGGTAAGAAGAAATCAGAAAGAAAGAATTAAAGCAAAAAACAATATGAGACAAAAAGTAAGGTTCGAAATGTGATGAACAATTGCAGACTAACAACGGTGATAAAAAAAATGAATAGAATGAAATAAATTATGTACAAAAACTGTAACTAACAAATCTTATAAAAACTAAACCCAGTGATAACAAATAAGAGCAATAACTTTAACATTAAAAACTAACCTCCCGATAGTAACAACATAATCAATAGTAAATCATTATCACAACATAATAAAGTTAAGAGAGAAATTTACAAATGAACAGATTCATATAACTGATCTTATCAATATAATAAATAAGTCTTCTAAAACAATAAAGAAACAACTGTAAAAATAAATAAATTATTACCTCAGTCGAAGAAGAACAATAGAGAAGTAGACCCAGTAGGACAACAAAGAGTCCAAAACAGAGAGAAGCAAACAAAAAAATCCACTATTGAAAACTGATCAAGGCAAAGAGATGAACCAAAGATCCAGAAGACAGTTACAATGAGAATGAACCTTAATACTACTAAGATTTCTAAACGAAGGTATAAGAGAATGTATTATAAAAGTTGGAGAAGGAAAACAGATAAAAAAAGAGAAACCGTAATAATGAGATAAAACACAATAGTTATATACAAAAAGAACAAATTTTTGATGAAGCACCGATAGCAATTCTTGGGAAAAAAATATCAACTGAGGTAATCATTAGTTAATAGGTGTCATGAAGCATGAAAACCACCGAGAAATTGAACGAATAATGAACAGACAGTAAAAATTTCTGTTATACGAGATTACAATAAAAAATACGTGTCAAAACAATATTATACATACTATAACAATGTAAAAACTGTCTAGAAACTGAAAGAAACAACCATATCAAAAACTAGTCCAGAAGATAAGAAAAGCAAATCATTGAAAGCATTAAAAAAGAAAAAAAAAACATCAACCAATAACATAATAGACAAAAACCATAATAAAAAAGTAAAGAAAATAATTTTCTTTCCAAAAAAAGAAAAGAATAGATAAACAATGTAAAAACTGTCTACAAACTAAAAGAAGCAACTATATCAAAAACTAATCCAGAAGATAAGAGAAGCAAATCATTGAAAGTGTAAAAAAAAAATAAAAAAAAATCAACCAATAATATCACAGACAAAAAGCATAATAAAAAAGTAAAGAAAATAATTTTCTTTCCAAAAAAAGAAAAAGAGAAAATGTTCTCTGAACAAAAAGGATAAAAAACCTAAAAAAAAAGGGAAAAGTAAAAAAGTATGTAAAGAAAAAGAACAAAAAAATGTAAAAAAAACAAAGAAAAAAATTGATTACAAAAGTGTTTTGCATAACAACGAATCAAAAGAGATCCGCAAATCACTGGAAGAAAGAACAAAAGTAAACCAAAAACAAAAACCAAAACATAACCCATAAGATTAACTCATACATTACATAACAAACCGAAACAAAGCCCCAAAAAATCTCAAAGGGAAATTTTTTTAGAAAAAGAACCCTAAAAAACTAAAAATACCCAGACGGTAAAAAAGTGGATAAACAACAAAAATTTTCAAAGAGAAGCCCAGGAACATAAAATGGGGAAAACAAAGAGGACGTGCAAAGCAGAAGAACGCATGAACAAAAGAAAAAAGGAATCATAGAACAAATTTGCAAATCACTAGAAGAAAGAACAAAAGTTAACCCAAACAAAAAAAAACAGATTCGAAGAGGAAAACCCAAAAACCGTAAATCACTGGAAGATTACTAAAATTTCCAGAGAGAAGAAAACCTAGAAACTCCACTGAAACATAACCTATAAGATTAACTCATATATTACATAACAATCCGAAACAAAGGCCCAAAAAATCTCAAAGAGAATTTTTTTTTTAGAAAAAGAACCCTAAAAAACTAAAAATACCCAGACGGCAAAAGAGTGAAGAAACAACAAAAATTTTCAAAGAGAAGCCAGCAACATAAAATGGGGAAAACGAAGAGGACGTGCGAAGCAGAAGAACGCATGAACAAAAGAAAAAAGGAATCATAGAACAAATCCGCAAATCACTGGAAGAAAGAACAAAAGTTAACCAAAAACAAAAACAAAACAACAGATTCGAAGAGGAAAACCCTAAAATCGGAAATCACTGGAACAAAGAACAAAAGTAAACCAAAAATAAAAATAAAAAAACAGATTCGAAGAGGAAAACCCTATAAAACAAAGAATACCCAAACAACAAAAAAAAATTGATAAAATTTCCAGAGATAAGAAAACCTACAAACTCCACCGAAACATAACCCATAACATTAACTCATATATTACATAACAAACCGAAACAAAGTCCCAAAAAATCTCAAACAAGAATTTTTTTTAGAAAACGAACCCTAAAAAGCTAAAAATACCCAGATGGCAAAAGATGGAGAAACAACAAAAATTTTCAAAGAAAAGCCCAGAAACAAAAAATGGGGAGACGGCAAAAAATGGAGAAACAACAAAAATTGTGAAAGAGAAGCCAAGAAACATAAAATAGGGAAAAGCATCGATCGAGAACGGTATTAATCCCAGAAACCTCACGAAGAGCAAGAGAGAGAAAAAGGGAAAAAATAAATGGACTGAAATGTAGAAGTCTAGGACGTTCACAATGTGAAAAGAAAGGCAAACCAAAGGATAAGACAAAAATACCTAAACAAAAATGAAAACAAAAATAAAAAAACCAAAGATAAAACGGTAAACACACAAACTTAGGACACACCCGAAATTATTCTAAAGAAGAGGGATAGGAAGGACCGGGCACTCTTCTAAGAATAATAACCCGAGTGCCTCCTTTAGTAGTATGTATAATATGGCCTTGCTTACACAACGCCCAGTGAAAATTCCAATACTATCAAATAAAAAAAAAACATTAAAAAGGGTATATGAAACTGAACCGAATCAGCCAAAAAAAAGCAAGCATAAAACACTAAAATATGTGTGTACATATATATTTAGACAAATTACACAGTTGCCTCTTGAAATATAGACCGTATAACAAAATGTTTTTTGAATTTCAATTTGTGACATCCGTTCGTCCTGAACTTTAGAAGTCTTGTAAATTTTCCCTTATATTAAAATTAATTTTAAGATTAATTTTAAAAACTCCTCCTAAATTATGACCCTTGTAATACTTTATCCTCCGAATTTTAAAACGTAACATCCGCTCCCCTCAAACTTTATTCCGTTAATAATTTTACCCCTTCTATTACACTGAGTGACGAAATTAGCCACATATCCATTATTTAGTGAGATTTAAAAGTAGAATTACGTTTATACTCATTTTCATTCAGAATCACTCGTTGTGGGTATGTTTTGAAAGTAAATCCCAAAGTCCAAACCATTCTCAAGAACAAAATCAAATATGGTCTTTTGTGGATACCCTTGAGCCAATTGCTTCTTGACATGGCTTGTTGAGCCATGAGAAGTTGCGGAGTAAACAAATAGCCTATTGGGTTGTGTTGGACGGGGAATGGAAGAAAACCATCTATCGAAAACAACAAATTCTCGGACTAAAGCCTCGTAAACGGGTACGGATTCGGGTCTAAATCCTTGTAAATGGTTGGGAGACATAGACAAAGCTTGCTCAACAAAACCAGTCATGGAGAGAACTGAAGCAAAACGAAGTACTTGTTGCTCAACGGCCTCGAAAGAGTGCTCGGGATCCGGATTGACGAACTCAACATCGTCGGTGAAGCAAATCGTTTTGGGTTTTTGGGTTTTGGTGGAAACGGGATTGCCTTCTTCACTAGTGATGCCATTGATATTTGGGTTCACGGATTTCTTCATCCACCCCAGCATGTGATTGAAGGAGCGGTTCTCCATCACCTAAACGACAATGGTTTTGATGGGTTGTTGTTGTCGTTGCTGTTGGCCTGAGACGAAATGGGTCGTCTGGGAAGTCCATGAGAGAGTGAGAAAGAGCAGGAAAGTGAAGGAAAATGGTGGTTTGCAGGTTTTGGATGCTAATAAGACGGATATAATCGTAATTTTATTTTTAAATCTCTTTAAATAATAAATACGTGATAAATTTTTTCATTCAGTGTAATAACAGAGATAAAATTATTAACAAAATAAAATTTAAAATGAATGAATGTTACGTTTTAAAATTTTTCTAAAAAAATATTACAAATCATAGAAGAGAAATTTTTAAAATTAATACTTAATTTTAATGGAAAATGATACTTGGCGATCATATGTCATGAGAGCTGTGGAATTAGCACATAAAATTACTTTAATGTTCAACAGTAGTTGTTTTGCCTTTTTTTTTTTTTTTCTCATACTCTCTCGCTATCTGAACTCTTTCTCTTTCTCTCTTCTCTCTCCCTCCCGACAAATCCTCTCTCTCTCCTCTCTCTATCTCTCCGGTGGGCAAGATTTGCCGAGCAATACACTCAGATTTCAGACGCATAAGCACTTACAGCCATTGAAACATAGTCCATCAAAAAAATGTTGGATTATCTAATAATAAAATATTCCAACACAGTCCTCATAGGGTTTGAATCACAGGTTGGAGAGAGATTTCAGGGTAAGTTTTTTCTTTTCCTTTCTTTTCTTTTCCTTTTAACGAGTATAAGTGGGTTTTGATTGGAGGAAAGAAGGGTCATGATGAGCTCAGAAGAACACACTTCTCATCATCATCAGCATCATCACAATCAAATGGACGATGATTATCAACCGTCTTATGGGATGTTTCGTTCTCGATTTGCTTTGATTTGGTGACGGATAATGGAGGCAGATCGAGGGCTAAGCTGCAATGCGGCCATAATTCCATTTGGGTTTGTCTTTTCTCGCAATGTTTCTTTTGATTTCCTGTCTTTAGTTCATCTTTATTGATAGTTCATCTTTATTGATTTTTGGCTTCTGGGTCAGAAAAGCTAATGGAAAAAAGTAAAGAGAGAGAACGAAAAAAATATATATAGGGAGAGAGCGCGTGCGAATGATTAGTTTTTTACTACGCGATTAATTAGTTTTATCTAAGGCATCGTTGATTTTACGATTCAAATTTTTAGTTTTAAATTTTTATAATTAAAAATTTTTATAAAATATCACATTTAATTTTTTTTATTATAAAAAAAATTTTTAGAAAATATTACATCTTAATTTAAATTAAAAATTTAAATTTATAAAATGAACGAGATTTAAAGTTTTATTCATTTTATCAATTTAAATTTTTAATTTTTAATTTTTATAATTAAAAATTTTAAAAAAAATATCATATTTAATTTTTTAATTATAATTAAAATTTTTTTAAAAATATCACATTTAATTTTTTTATTATAATTAAAAATTTTTAAAAAATACTATATCTTAATTTAAATTAAAAATTTAAATTTATAAAATGAATACTTGAATGAGATATCTGTTAAAATTTTAACAAAAAAGAGAAAAAATTTTAAAATTTTTAAAATTTGGAGAAATGGACGTTACAGATTAAAGTTTAAAGGTATTTTATTACACGGCCTATAATTCGGAAACAACCGTGTAATTTGCCCATTTTCTTGTGATTTGCTTTCTTGTTCTGTGATCCATTGATCTCTTTCTTTCTCCATCTCTTCTCACCGACACACATTCACTGCATCGCATGATACTAGTGTCCAGTTCTTAGTGCTCCACGTGTTACTTGTAGTGTATCACATTGCCGTGTAGCAGCAGAAGACCCGGTTTTATACGAATGTCTTTTTCCGTTCCGTGCATGCATATCCAGTATATTACAAGTTGGAATTGGCATTAATACATATATTAAAAGTCTTCTTTATTACTGTTTATTGTACATGAGTATGAACAGTGAAATTTTTTTAACCTCTTAAATGTATGTTGACCGTTTTATCCCTTGCACTTTCTTCACCACACACGTTTTTCTGCGCACATTTATGTGTTTTTTTTCTTAAATTATTTTTTGAGATCGGGCAACAGCTGAAATAGGAACAGGCCCTATTCTTTGTCTTCGACTACCTTCTAGGTCTTTATTTTTGAAAGAAAAAAAAATAAGTTAAAATTTAAAATGAATTAAAATTAATAGGTCAATAATTTATATGAGTTAATAAATAGATTAAATTACTGTTTTCGTTCATAATTTATCTGGTTATGAACTATAACTTGACAAGTTATGGACGGTTTTTGTCCATAACTTGTCTGGCTATGAATCATAACTTGACAAGTTGTTAAATTACTGTTTTCGTTCATAATTTGTCTGGTTATGAACTATAACTTGACAAGTTATGGACGGTTTTTATCCATAACTTGTCTGGCTATGAATCATAACTTGACAAGTTTATCCATAACTTATCTGATTATGAACTATAACTTGACAAGTTATGGCCTATTAATTTCTATAATTAAAAATTGGCCTATATACTTTCTTAAGCTTTTCATATTGGCCTATTTTCTACTATTTTCGTTTATTTTTTAGGTGTTTTGGGTTTTGTTTTTTTTTTCTTCTTTGAACTAATATGGTTTTTTATTTCTTCATTTTTTTTCTTCGTTTGGACATAATTTTTTTCTACCGTTTCTTCTAATCCGATCTTTTTGAGTTTTTTGAGTTTTGTTATTTTCTTCTTTTCTACACTAATATGGTTTTTTTTTCGATCTATTTCGAAAAAAAAATTTCCTTTTACCGTTTCATCTCTTCGTCTTGATGTTTTATGCTTTTTTGGGTTATGCTGTTCTGTTCTGAATTTTTTTTTGTTTACCTGATTTTTCTTTACATGTTTTTATTGCAAAGGCATTCGGAAATGTTTACTTTCTCGGCGTCCAAATATCTAGAGCTAATATTCTTCATATTTTTTGCTTTTTCTCTTGGGGTTTTTTTCCCCTTTTTATTTTTTATTTTTGGTAGATATTTGGGCTCTTTTTTGTTCATATTTCCTCTTTGTTGATTTTATGTTTATTTCTTTAAATTTTTTATTTTGGCTGACTTTTAGGCTGTGTTTGGAGTTGTTTTTGTTTTTATTTTCTACATTTTTTGAAAAAGAAAAAATAAAAACGGAAGAGAAACGGCGTTTGACACAATTAAAGATGAAAATGAAAACAATTTTTTGATTTAGTGTAAAATAGTAGACAAATGAAAAATGATTTTTAGTCGTTTTTCATTTTTTGTTTCTGTTTTCTCCTTTCTCGAATAGAGAGAGAGACACTAATTGATTTTTTTTATACTGAAAATAATCTCGTGAAAAAATTACCAAATGCATTTTTAAAAATGATTTCAGTTTGAGATTGAAAACGTTTTCATTTCCATTTTTACACAAAAAACAAAATCATTTTAGAACGAGTTCTAAACGCATCCTTAATTTCTTCAGTTTTCTTTTTTCAATTTTTTTTTATTTTTGATTTTTGGCTTTTATCTATTCTTGTTTACTCTTTGTTGTTTTTTTTATTAAAATTTTTGATTTTGAGCGATTCTACACAATTGTCAGCGTCTTATTGTGTTAATGTTCGCGTTAATATTTTATTCTGACACGTGCATTTCTTATGCTTAAATTTTGTATAATGCATATCTAATCTCTCACTATCCGTTATTTATTGGTTGTGTTTTGCAGTCGTCTTCATGCTCCATGACAAATGTAGTTGATTAATCATTATTCCGATTGATTTTGCTTTGTAGGAATTTGTATAGAGATTGAGCGAAATTTTGATAACTTTGTGTATATATAATGCATGTTTTTTTATTGCTATAATTCCTCACTTTCTCTTTATTTTCGTTATTCAGATATTACGATCTATCATCTTCTGTGTTCTCTGTCTGTTTAAAAATCTTATTGATACTAGACGTCTATTACTATTTTCACTGTCTTTTGGATATTCGGTTCATATATTTCTCCTACTCAATAATTTTGATTGTTCTGTTGGATCTATCATGTTCACTGTGCTTCATCGACTGAGGTATTCAATTTTTTGTCCTTGCCTTTGTTTTTGAACTGTTTTTAAAATATTGCATTATGATGTTATCTTCATTTGTTATGTGAGTTTCTTCATTTCTTGGCTTATCTGTTCATTTCATTATGTTTTTCATGAATATGTTATTGTTTAGTGTTGATTTTGTTTTTTTTATATCGTTGTTCAGTGTTTATGTTGTTTTGCTTATTGTTATTTAGGTATAACTTAGCTTCATCTTTTGCCTTATTTGTTCTTCTATCGAGATCTAAAATTTTTTTTAGCTTTTAATCTTCTTTTGGTCATGATGATGTATTTTTGTTCTATTATTGGTATATATCATGTAACTGTTAATAAAGGCTTGATTGTTCTTGATGTTGGCCAGATTATTTAGGATTTATGTCATTTTCTTACGGTTTATTAATCGTTAGGGTATTGTTTTTCTTTGTTGATGATGACTTAGTTTCTTTATGTTGAAGTCAGTGTTCTTTCAATAGTTTATGTTAATTTTTGTTGGTCAGTTTTCAACATTTTTTCTCTATTCCATTTTCAATTACTGTCGTCCTTATGTAGTGCAAACGTATCGTTTTGTCTTTAGCTTTTTACTCTTTTATATATTTATATTTGTGCCTTTTTAGTCATTTATCTATAAAGAAAGATTCTAACCTATATATATATATATATATTGTGTGTTTTGAATAAATTCTATAATAATTCAGCTGCCAGTCAAGTACATTGTTAGGTTATATTTGAGTTATTTATGATATGTATCGTTAATAATAGAAAATAAATACCTGAACCATGTATTTAATATATGATTTTCTGGTTTCTTCATCTTCGGTTGGCGCTGAATCCTGTTTTTGTTATTTATATATTAATTTCTATAGATTGTTTGTCTCATTTATTTAAATGACCAATATGAATGTATTTTTTTCTTAATACACAGATGGAAATTATGTATGTCATGCATTTATCAAAATAATTGTACTGTAAAAAGTGTTTGATTTTCTTTCTTTTGTAGAGTTTATTTCTCATTTTATATGCTCACTGTATGATAATAGACTTTAGTTTAGTTCATTTCACCAATTTAAGTTTTACTACAGTAAAAAACTCTCAGAAACAGTCACATCTAATGTTTTTGTTACAGTAAAAAGTTCTCACACAAAATCACATCTCAACTCAAATTAAAAACTCGAATTAGCGAACTAAACGGGCCTTTTATTGTGTCTCACTTATTTAGAGCAGATTGGGTGTGAGACATTAAATATATTTTGCTTCTCCATCACTTACTGCTCTATTTGATTATCTGCTCTATTTGATTATCAATCGTTTTGCGCTTTTTCTTGCTATCGCTGCATCCTTTTTTTCTCTCTATTTACAATTAGTTGGCTGACTTTTCAAACTTAAATGGGTGGTTATAGCATTCCAGGTATTTTTAATCACTGTTGCCGAGAATTTTTATCATATCTACTGCTTATGTTAGGTATATTGTTGTAATGTGATTGTATCAATATGCACTGTTTCTGTTTCATATTAGCTGTTCATAACTGATTTTAGTATGTTTTTTAAATAAACATTAGTATTATATATTGCTCATTGTCGTTTTCTTCTATTGTTAATAAATATTAGTACAATATGTACTGAGTCTTTTTTTTTTTTTCCTATCCTTCATTACGACGTATTTTTCAAACATTGTCTTTTTCTTTATTTATTTGTTACCTTGTTTTATGCTTTAACCCTTCTTTGAAGAATTCATTTAAAACATATATACATATACATTACTTTTATTTTTCTACAGTTCAATTTCACTTTTTTTAAGCAATTAAATTTTTATTTTCCTTTTTCTTTACTGTGGTGATGATGCTAATAAGCAATCCTAATCTCTTTTGTTGTACATGTGTTGTTAAAAAATTGCTTTGAATACTTTTTCCTTATTGACAGTAGTAATGTTTTATACTTATATGTCTGTCTATATATGTATTAAGATATTTTGAATCACCGTACTGTATATGTATAGATATGTATATTTCAATGTATATTTCAAACCAACGCCCCTAATACCAAAAAAATAAATAAATAAAAAGCACAATATTATATATATATATATATGTGTCTGAATATGTTTATAAAAATCCCAAATTTTTTATATAATATAAAAATGTATTCCGCGTGTTAATAAATAAATAAAAAGCACAATATTATATATATGTGTGTCTGAATATGTTTATAAAAATCCCAAATTTTTTATATAATATAGCAATGGGAATACAGGTTTGTTAAATCTAGAATCAAATTGCGGAATACAGGTTTGTTAAATCTAGAATCAAATTTGACTGCAACTATACGGAAAACTGCATTTATCTATAGAGTAAGAAAACTTAAAATGCAAGTTTAACCAAACATGATCAAAATTTATTAGTTTCTAAGGCAGGCAAAATTTATCAAAATTTATTAAAGTCTTATTGATGATTTAAAAGGCTTACTACACAAACTACCAATTATCTTTATTCATGGCAGATATTATTATTTGGATACAACTATTTTTATTAAAAGAGAAAAGGCAAGAAATCAGCGAGCTAGCTAGCCCTCTGGTTTTATTTTTGTACATTCCTCTTGGATTGGCTCTTCGGTACAATGAACTCCATTGTCTTTAACATTTTGCTGAGAGATCTTCTCTTTCACACACCAGCTAAATGAGATTGCCTCTCCAAAGACAAAAGTGGTGCAAAGACTTTCCCCTCAGCTGTTCCATGAAAACCGCTCTGCAACGTTCGAGTTTGTTTCCACAGGATTTCTCTTCTTGAGATCCGTCTATATGACTGTCCCATCTTCTATAGTTGCCTTCTCCACTATAATGGTGATTCCCGACCGAATATAAAACCCCTCTTCCGGCCTATCCGCTTCATGAACACCCTACAAAAAGGATGGAGCATTCGAGCATTGCATAGGATTAAACGCGATAATGATAACATACTTCAAAAAGGAAATTCTAGTTCTTGTGTGGAGAAGTGCAAAAAGAAACAAAGTGACGAGGACAAGAACGTAGGTATCCTTACATCTTTGTTCCTGATGACGACGTCCTTTCCAATCTTCACATTCTTATCGATGATACAATTCCTTCAAAGTAAAAATGTTCGATCACGGTCAGAACTAGGGGCATGTTCATCGAACCATAATGCAAAGTAATGTGAAAAGTAATCGGTTTAGAAAGGAAAGGAAAAGAAAGGAATAGAATAAGAATGAGGATAGTTGATTCTCTTTCCGGTGTTTACTTAACATTTAGAAAGTGCAAACTGAACTTAGAATATGAATCCTATCAATGGAACTATTAAAATGGAATAATTGTTGGCTTATAATATGTGAAATTATCACTATATATAAGTCAATTTGACATTCATTCCAGCTAACTGGGAATCAATACCAAGGAGGTGTTAGAATCTAAGATTCCATCAAAGCCCAATATTTACCGTTTGTTTCATGGGTTCAAATCACGGTTCATGATTCTGACATTTGAAATTCAAATTTTTTACGAGAAGAACACTGCAGCAAAATCAAGAATCATAGTTTGAACCATGCAGAACCTTGAAACAAACACACCAAGTTACCTAATTTTTGTGTTCTGTCCAATCCCAATTGGAACCTTCCCCTCTGCCAGAAGAGAAGCAATCTCAGATTCAGTTTGATAATAGTCTGCACCCATCATTATGGTATCCTGAAAATGGAGATTAACAATCAACCAAGTGATCACTAATACACACACATGCACACACAAAACATACAGATCTTGGCTATTTTTATGGAACCTCTGTTAATTCACCTTAAGCTCCACGCCATAATCTAATCGAGAGCGTTCACCCACAATGGAACGTTGGACAGAGCATTCTCTCAGGAAACATCCATGTGAAATTATTGCATCCACAATCTGCAAAACCCACATAAGCATGAGAAAGACTACAATTTAATGAAGTCAAGGGACGAAACAAGTGCAGTTCTGTAAGCATACCCGGCATTTATCGATCTTGGTTGGAGGTAAGAATCGAGGAGATGTGAAGAAAGGAGTTTTTGGATCATAAAACTCGAACTTTGGGAACTGCAAGAAAAGAGATATTTCCAACAAAAAAATGATGTCAGTCTAGCACAATTACTAGTAACTAGTAAAGTCCCATTTGAAGCAATTATGGAAAAGTATGATATTCCATGATGCTCCACAGTATACTAAGGGAGAAAAAAAAAAGTACTAGTTTCATGAAAGAAGAATTGAAAAAACAGTCTCTTGACCAATTGATCCTACCTCTTCAGTAAGGGCCAAGTTGGCATCATAAAAAGACTTTATGGTCCCAATATCTTCCCAATAGTCTCTGAACATATATGCCTGTCAAAGCAAGATTCAACATGTATAGGTTACATGCTTGAAACATTTTTAAGAACCGAAGCATACTAAAAGAAAATGTGGAGCAACATTTTCGAGAACTAATATACTCTCTTACTTGAACATCATGCTCTTCCACAGCTGCAGGAATGATTTCTGATCCAAAGTCGTTCGATGTAGGATATCTCCACCTTAAGAGCTTAAGCAAAATTTCCGTCTTAAATGCATAGACTCCCATTGATGCAATGTATGGAGATTTCATGGCATCTTGCTTAGACAATCCTAGAAGAGAAGTATCTGCTTGCTGCAGAAATCCAACATCAAGGTTAAAATTGAATAAAATATTTCATCGACAATAACAAAACCATGATAGAGTTATTAGCATTTATGGAGAACAATTAAGAAGAATCTGGGGCCGAATCATAGCCGCATGTTTTTAAGGTAATTTTAAGGCAAACATCTGACATATTGATATTTCTAATGCTTATTTTATCTTATGCTCATGTCACTAGGTCATCCTCTTCATATAATAACAAGATGTCTTTCAGTTAGCATTTCACTCGGTATGATCGAGGAAAAGTGATCACTGACACAACACATAGAACTTACGAGGTGCTAGTGCACAGGACCAAAGGATTTTGCAAAACTTAAAGCAAGATGGATGGCCAAGAATTTAGTTAAAATTGACATAACCGAACTATGGGTGATGTTTTTAGTTTTATAGAGTTGAAAAACTCTAGAAGCTATCAAAAATATGGAAAAAAAAAAAAAAAAAAAAAAAAGCACAATGCAGGACTGAGATAAGATCTAGTGCTTGCATACCATTCCTTTTAGATCAGCACCCTTTGGTTTTTCAGCAAACTGATAAATTCTCTCTCTGCTGTCTACTTTCACCAGTCCATAATCGGATGCACGGCTGGAAAGGAACCATGCAACGTTAGATATGCTTAGGAGTCCGGTTGGAGCTTACATTTTTTTAATCTAATTTTGTTCTTTTTCTCCTCGTGACTAATTAGAAACAATTATATTTATATTGTACTTGAAAAGTTATAAAAGACATCAGATGTTCAAATACATCAAATTCACAATAAATTAAATCAACAAAACAAGATAGAAGAAGTCTAAGCATACCTGTCATTAACTGCTGCACACGAAATTGTAATGTCGGAATTTCTATCGACGTGACTCTGATGAAATCAGTGCAAAGATGTAAGCTCAATACAGGCATTAAACAAAGACTCTTAGTTCAAATGAATTAACTGCTTACCTGCACAAAGTCCATATAATCCATCCGATAAAGATGATCACCAGACAAAATAAGAATGTTCTCAATGTTCCGGTTCTTGGCGTCCTACAAGAATCAATACAGTTACCACAGAGTACAGACAGATTCATTTCAAGTCAAATATGAAAGAATTACTCCGTCTTTCCTTTTAAAAAATCTTATGTTTTGGAAACTTCACACACCTCAAACACCCATGTAAATTGCCTCACAGCATCTGCAGTCCCTTGGAACCATTTCATCCCCGCTTCTCCCGGTGTCTGAGTGGCAGCCAAGACCTGCCCATGAAGTGAATTTGCTTTAAGCCACCGAATAAGTGACAGACATAAATAAACTAGCTCATTATAGTGTCTTTTAATTGTTAAATACGCAAACACATCATTGAACGACAAAAGTGTTTCCCCATTCAACAAAGCAGAATCATCAGCCTATTACTTTTTTGAGAAACACTTGGCTTCCTTTTCCTTAAAACACTAGCAAGTTTAAATCTGACCCTACGATAGTCCAAATACCAGACCAATGACCAAGCAAAACCTATTGAAAATTTCATCCGCTTGAAGGATTTCTCACCTCCACAAAACCATCCCCAAAATTGACACCATTCCCAAAGTACGTTCGAGCAATATGGCGATTGAGAGAAGCAGAGTTGAACTGGGTCAGCACAAAAATCTTGTTTATGTCACTATTGATGCAATTGCTCATCGGAATATCTATCAGCCGGTAGCATCCTCCAACTGGGACCTGCAGATCATACATATCATCTAGTCATCAAACTTCAAACGCCACCTATAAATCACTAGGACCAAAGTCAACAACTTCTTTTCTTTTTCTTTTCTTTTTTTTTACACATGATGAAATCTAATGACATACTATGATTAAAAAGATTGCGCCAAATATATTTTTTCATAGCCTGCCACAGGATTTGAGTTGCTCTAATACCAAATGATGTATAAGTATATGAATATTGTATCTTACAGCGGGTATTGCAGCTCTTCTGGTAAGAGGAAAGAGCTGAGTCCCAGCACCTCCTCCCAAAATGATTGCAGCCACATTTTTGGGGTCGGCTCTTCTTCTATGAAACTGAGGAACTTGCAGAGTCGTCTGACATTTGAATTATATGAGAATTCACTCAAAACCCACATAAAAAAAAACTAACTAAGAATCCCAAGAAAACTCTCAATTTCAAGATTTCACACACAAATCATCACCACAACATTAAAACACACACACGCACAAAATAAAAATAAAGAAAAAGAAAAATTGTCACTTTCACTAATAAAAATGAATCATATAAAGAAAAATTCACACAGCCAACATGGTTACATATATAGCCTAGCGGTATTTCGACGTCTGTCTGACTGTGAAAAAAAATGAAAAAAACAAAAAAAAAGCAACTAACCAGAGCCTCCTTGGTGTCATTCGTTGTAGCAACAGCAAAAGCAACACCGGGCTTGACCTTGGCCTTATTTCTGATTCTCTTCTCATTTCCCAATAAACTGTTTAATGTGGCTTGCTTGATCCAAAGACTGTTTTTCTTTAGGCTTCCTCTGATCTTCTCCCCCAAAATCCCACTATCTCCACCATATCTGAGACCACCTTGGCTTGCTTTTGCCAAATGGGCATTCGGTTTTGTAGTCACACAGCAAAGATCCATTCTTTAATGGATCAGAATACGGAAACGGTGATCACAAAAACAGAACTCAACCAAAGTAAGTTAACAAAGTAAATTTAGTATAGATCACCTCAGATATGTTTTGACACTTGTTTTGTCACATGCACAGTCATATACATACACACACACACACACACACACACACACACACATATATATATATATATGTATACAAACACACACACACAAACACACACGTCTCTAACACGTGACCCCAAAAGAAAATTGGCTACACAAAACCTGACTCTAATGAAAGTTTATCAGATATGGTAACAAAACTTGTGTACTTCCCAGATCGGAAATCTTGCTAGGAAATTAGAATCTCGAGTGCCCAGAAGAGGAAAAACTGAAAGGGTTCTTTTTTTTTTGGTTTTTTGTTATTTTTTTCAGAGTAGAAAGAAGACAAGAAGATGAGGAAGAGTACTTTCAAAATGGGAGTGAAATGCGTGAAGTGATTTTGATGGAAAGCAAAGCAGTCAACTTTATTGGCTTGTTGGGAGTGAGCCTCACGAGAAATCCTGCAAATTTTTGTGTGATAGATTTTATGAATAAAATAAAATATTGTGGCATGAAATCATGTGGCCTTGCCATAATATTATAGTCCAAATTTCTAGGTTCTCATGCTTTTAGAGAAAGCCAGTGTGAGCCAAACACCTGTCCCTTTCAAGCCAAAAGATTGTGTCATTATTTAATGAAACAAAAAATGTTAAAAGAAATTGATGAGATACTTTCATCGTTACTGGCCGTACAAAAATTGAAAGAAAATAAATTTTATTTTAAAAAAAAATAATGCTTCCTACACCCATCAACATTTTCAAAGCTGTTATAATCTTCATTTGACAGTTGGTATCAGAGATTTCCCTCCACTTGACATGTTGCTTTAAACTGATCATGGCGTGCACTAATTTTCAACCGTGTGATTAGTATTTTATTGGCTAGTTTAATATTATTTTTGTTGGTGAAGAAAAAAATAAGTTAAAAATTGGAGAAGCTGGTGTAGCATAGTTACTTCCAAGGTTTGATTTTTTTTTTTTTCCTCGAGTAAATTGCATTATTGCATACATAATTTAAAAAATAGCGACTTTGTCTTTCATATGCAACAATAAATATCGTATTTTAAACCATTAATTCAATAACGTTAATTAACTATTAGTTCTCAATTATTATTAATTTTAAAATTCAGTATGTATTTTGTTAAAATTGAAAGTCCTTGGTGCATTATGCAAAAAACGATTATTTTAGTGTATTTGTTCATTTTAGTTAAGTATTTTTGTATAGTATGTGAGTCGTTCTCCAAATAAATGACCCATGTACTTCATTTGCCAAAGCAACTTGACTTAGATTCTAAATATCAAATTCGAAACTTATCAAGAAAAATAGGTAGTCTTATGAGAAAATCTAGTAATATTTCTTTTATTATTTTTTATATTTACTGTTTAACACATAAATTATATTATCTCATTTTTTATTTAAATAATAGTGAGATTTTCTAGTACGCATGACGTACTGGGAGGTTGAGTTTTTTTTTAACCGCTAGATTTGCGTACTTTTTGACTTTTACTTGATTTTATGCAAATCTGACAAACAAAAAATTTACCCTATCAGTATGTTAGCATATCAGAGAACGTTCCTAAATAATAATATATCATATTAATATAGTCCACATTCACTTAAACGCGTAAAATGATAAAGAGATATAGATAAGTATAGATACCTAGATTAGAGAACTCCTATTAAATTTCTCTTTTCTTTTATTTTCTAACGCTTGAGTCCATGGATCCCAGGTATTTTCGAGATAATGGTACCCTATATTTTTGGGCTCTACTAGTGTCAAGCTTAAAAATCTGTATATTGGTATTTTTTTTATTTCCTTTGTTAAAACTTGAACCTAAAACTCAATACAATAAACACGACTAGAGTTTGAAGTTAGAACTCAATATAATAAAAGCAACTTACACACTCATTAAACCTAGAACCCAATATAAAAGTAACTTGCACACTTATTAAACATGAATTGTCGAGTTTGGAAGTTACCTTTTTGGCGAGTTTATATTTCTATTGACTTCTTATGATGTTCAGGATATTTTAGCTGGAGGAATATTTAAGAAGGATGCTAAAGTTAAGCAAGTCAGATCTAATTCTAACAATGAAAAGGGAGGGAAAAAAAGAAGCCATGTATGATTTTCAATTGCTATAAATCATCTTTACGATCCTCTCAAAAAAGAAAAAAAATTCTTTATAATCGTAAAATAAACACTCAAGAAATTACTCTACAGTAATGACGATTCATACATATATATATATATATGTATATATGTATGTGTATACACACACATATAGAAGATCTAAAATAATCTCACAAGGGGCAAAGATGTATGAAAGAAAACTCTGACATTAATCAAGAGTTGTTATTAAAAGTATTAAAGACTAGATTCTAAAACATTTGAGATCTTATTTTGCATGTTGAAGATGCGAAACTACATATGTTAAACTGTGGTAGCAAACGTTAATTAGAATCCGACTCATTTATTAAACGTGATAAAAAAATTATCAATTCAAATACAACATAATCATAACGATAATCAATCTGAACACAACAAATAGTTAATTGTGTTAATTTTTATTTATAATAAACCCAATTCACTAATTCTGTGTGAGTTTTAAATCGTATTATTGTATCAAAACGATATATTAGGGCATATTTATAATGTATACTCTAATCATAATTTTTTATTATGACATTTAAAATTTAAAATTTTTTTTTTAAAAAAATACTATAATAAAATTAATAATTTGAGTATCAAAAATAAAGAGGTCTTTAGTGCTTTAGTATTGCACGTTTCTGAATTTCAAAATCACATCAACATCAGTCAAATATGTAAAAAGAAAATGTAACGCAAGAAGTTTGTAGTACTAATAATTCATGAGAACATTTTTTAAAACCTTTTCTACCAAAAAAAAAAAAAAAAAGAAAAGCATTTTTATCCTATCAAAAAATTCCTCTTTTTTGGTTATATTGAAGAAAATAATTTTGTGGGCCCATAAAGCAAGTCCAAACAAGTAGATCTTTTAGGGACCATGCCTCGTGCTTCTATATTTTGCAATGTAATGTACCTAACCCCATGGACGGTTCTCATTTTGTGCAGCAGAGGCCCATGTCATCTCCCAGGTAGGCCCTCGTGGCCGTGTTTCTGAGCCTTACTTGTCACCGAGTCGTGTCAGGCCCACTGTTTAGGAAGCAACCACGTGGACGTACGAACCTTGCCCACATAGTGCACTAATACATGAGCACTTATTTTTTATTTTTTATTTTTTTAATGTAGAAAAGCAATGCATTAGAACACCTCTATTTAATAGGAGAGATGAGAGGTAACAAGATAAAGAAGATTAAAAAGATTAAAAAGATGAAGAATGTGAAGGATAAAAATGATTAAAAAGATCAAGAAGGATAAAAAGGATTATAATAATATTTTATATTATTTAATAATAAAAAATTTGAGATAATAAATAATAGTTATTTATTTAATTACAATATTATTTATTTTACTATTTATTAATACTTTTTTTAAGGGTTTCTTTTCTTTAATTTCAGGTGAATTGATTAGACTATTATCATTCAAAATGGAGGTTCAGAAGGAGACTCTCTTCCTTTATATCTCCTCTTTATCCTCTTTACTTTCTATCCAGATAAAATATTCACTTTATCTCTCCATCCCTCTCATTTCCTCCATCTCTCTCATTCCTACCAAATATATTTTTAGGGTGTGCTTGGTTGGGGGAACATAAATGAATGGAAAGGAATTAAGATTTATTCTTATGTTTGGTTAGTTTTAGAAAAAGGAATGACCATTCAAAATGGAATGACTTTTCCATCAAATTGGTGAATCATTATTCATTTCTCATATGGGAGGAATACCCATTTCAAACTCTTTTAATTTTATTTTTCATCATTACCCTTAAATATCATAATTATAAATATTATAATATTAATATTTATAATATAATTAGTGTTATAGTATAATGTAATTATATCTTATAACGTATAATATAATATATTATAATTATATATGTATATTATAATATATCATATTTAATATTATCTTATATTATGTATTATACATTGTAATTATATTTATCATTAATATAATATACAATATAATCGTCATATTTGTAAATAATTATAATTATTATAATTATATTTATCATTATAATATAATAAAAAATAATATAATATGGGATAGTAGTATTTTCTATAAAATTAAATATAATAACTGTATATTTTATGCATAATATTATTTTATTTTATTTTATTTTATAGAATATATATGTGATGTTTTCGTTAATAATATGATAGTTATAATAAAAATTAGGATTTTATTATTTTAAATATATAATATTGTAATTATAATCAGATACTATATTTTATAATATTATAATTAAGTATTTATATAATTACAATATAAATTTATATTATAATAGATAATAGATAATATACTATAATTAGAAATGATAATATACTATATTATATATTATAATTATAATATGTTATATTATATTATATTATTACATTTTTATAATTATACTATATTTCTAATAATATAATATAGTATAGTTGTAACATTATAATATAAAATAATCACAATATCATTATTTTATTATATTATATATTATGATTGTATTATAACAATAAATATTATATAACTATAATTATAATTATATCTATTATATCCTTATAATTTTATATATAATATTAGTTATTAAATGATTATATTAATATATATGATATTAGTTATATTAGCATGAGAGGTAATTTTATCAATATTAAAATATTCATATCTCATTTCATTGCATTTGTAAAAGTAGAACTAAATAAATAAATCATCTCTCTTTTTTATTCTATTCCATTACCATTCATATTTTCATTCTCATTACTATTCTTTTACTGCAAGCAAACGCGCCTTTAAGAGTAAGACCGCAACACCGTAGTCCTTATTGTACCCATAACGTACATTTGTTTAAGCCGTTGATAAAAATCCAAGATTCTAGAATTATCTAATGTAAGTTACAACTCCAATCTATCATAACCACAGAATTCTAATTCATATATCCTTTTCCTTTTTCTTTTAATGAAAAAACAAATAGTTACTGAGAAAAAAAAAAGAAAAAAAAGTTTTTATCTCCTTCTACTTTCTTCACAAAACACATTCTCATTGTTTTTTTTTATTTTTGTTTCCGTTTTAAAAAATTTTATTAAACAAACACGATTAATAGACTGTTTTCGTTTTCATGCCTCAAAAGACGTGCGAAAACGTTTTCGAAAACAACTAAAAAATAATTCTAAAGGCACCCTTTAGTTTTTTCCCTATTTTAATAGGCTAAATTTTGCAACTTTTTTTTTTTTTTTTTTTCCAAAATCTGGATTCACAAACTGGATGTTTAGGTCTCCCTACATATTTTGAACAAGAAAACAACAAAATTATAACCATATGGTTCATCTAGTAGTCATTGGCATAATTCTTGTGCAACACTTCTAAAACTTTTAACTCCAAAATCCAAGGACGTATTTCGT